TAAAAATTGAAATAGTTTTATACAGTTTAATTTACAAAATTATACTAGTATTCATTATTCCACCCCACCCCTGAAAGGAATTACTTTTACCACCATTTGGCAATTGGTGTTTTCCCAAATACTCGAAACATGTACCGTGGCTCTGCATTAAACTTTTGTGGGGATGATGTTACAAGTACATGAAAGTACCAAATAACCGGTTGGACTAAAATAAATACTTAAATACTTTATTAGAAGACATTTTCCAACTAAAGCTCGAACAGTTAAATCTAATTGTGAGTGTAAATTTGATTATTACAGTCTTTTATGGAAATTCATACGTCTTGGAAATTGACATGAGCATAAGCGGTAACTGCTCAAATCCTTCCAAGGATTTCTTTCACGTGAATGTATTATCTCCAATGCATATGATATATGTAACTTAATTCTTGTGACATGATGGATGGAGGAGTAATTTAGTAGTATTTGCAATGTGTGTACCATTGTATTAGTTAAATTTTTATTTTATTCTTTTAAATTAAAATAATTTGTGTTTTAATTCAACAAAGGACTATATTTTTTTAATCATAATAGTTAAACACTCATATATAATTTTAGAATTTAAATGTCAAACTATAGTTTTTTAACTTCATATGTAATTTTAGAATTTAAATAATTAATTATTTATGTTTTTTAGGTTGACCACATATCAATTATATTTTAAACAAATATCATTTTTGAAAGAATAATATCATATTACTACATCTTCGAAATGAGTTCTATGTTAATATTAGATAGAAAATTTGAGAAACACACTAATATTACTGATTTAAGTGAAGATATAGAAAAAAAATTAAATAAAAGGAAAAGTATTATGGTATCTATGGAAAAAAAAATATGGAATTAAATAAATAATATTTGTCTCAATAAAGAAAAATATTTAATGTATTATAGAAATAACTATGCTTAATGGACATGACATGACACCTGAGCCTAGTTATATATCAATTCAAAGCATAAAAAAAACACAGAATAGAAGTATGACAATATGACATCTCTTTTTTTCCAAAAATTTTGGTGTTTGATTTGCACTGAACATTGCTGTGTAGTTAGAAGCTTTTTCAACTCTGGTAAATTGCTCAAAAGCATCAACCACACTTTGATTACTCTCATTCCTAAAATTCAAAGCCCTGAACAAGTCTCCCATTACAGGCCTATAAGTCTCTGTAGTGTCACCTACAAGGTCATTACTAAACTGTTAGCTCAAAGACTAAAACCTTGCCTTCCTCTTTGTATATCTGATAATCAGGCTGCCTTTGTGCCAAATAGGCAAATCATTGATAATGTTATTCTGGGGCATGAGGTCATTCATTTCTTAAACAGACATAGAACTGGTCACAAATCTTATATGGCTCTAAAACTAGATATGGAAAAGGCATTTGATAGAATAGAGTGGAAGAGTGTGAGTCTTATAATGCTAAAGCTTGGATTTTGTACAAAATTTGTGAATTGGATTATTTCTTGCATCTCTTCTGCTTCATTCCCATTTAATGTCATTGGAGAGGTGTGTGGCTATGTTACTCCCTCAAGGGGCATACGACAAGGGGACCCACTGTCCCCTTATGTCTTCATTCTAGTGTCTGAGATTTTCTCACATCTGATCAAACGGGAAACACAAAATGGCAACCTTCATGGGATTCAACTTTCTAAAAATGGGTCAAAGCTCTCTCACTTGTTTTTTTCAGATGACACTATGCTCTTTGCCCAAGCTGAACCCTCACAAGCACACTCCATTCTCAATATTCTTGCTACTTACCAATCAATAACTGGCCAAAAAGTGAACCTCTCTAAATCATCAATTTTCTTCAGCAGAAACACCCCNGTGTGCAAATATTGCCAGACTTTTAGCTGCCTTTTGGTGGAATACAGGTAACAATGAAGGCAAAAAAAATTCACTGGAAAGCCTGGAAACTAATGACTTTTAGGGGTGGGCAAAAAAATCGGATTTCCCGATCCCGAACCGGACCGAAATGGTCCCGTTCCGAAAAAATAGGGTTCCAATCGGTTTTTAAAATTTTCGTCCCAGTCCCGGTCCCGAACTGGTCGAAACAATGTCGGTATCGGTTTTTAATATTTTTTTCCCAAACCGTCCCGTTTGTCCCGTTTTATTTTTTGTGTACAAAAATATTATATATATATATATATATATATATATTATACATTAATTTATATTTATTAATGAAATCTTAACAAGTTTTTTTTTGTACAAAAATCTTAACAGACTTTTTTTTATTAATGAAAGGAAAACCAAATTCACTTCTGTCTGTTAACTGTTAAGACAATTGGCCCAAAAAATGAAAACATTAAGTAATAAAGTAATACACATTAAGTCATTAACATTTATATTTATGGGCACAACGCACAGACTACAGAATCCAAATTCCCAAATTCCCAATTCAATTAACATTTTTTTTTAATTGAAACAGCCAAACAGACCAACAGAGAATAGTTTAGTTTGAAGTTTGATTTTTGAATATTTTTTTTCCGTTTTGTCCCGGTCCCGAACAGTTTCGTCCCGGTCTCGATTGATACCGTTCCGTTTGGGACGAGATGTCGTCCCGGACCGGTCCCGGACCGGTTCAAAAAACCGGGACAGGTCGAATCCCGGACCGTGCCCACCCCTAATGACTTTGCCCAAGGACAAAGGAGGAATTGAATTCCATGATATACAGCTCATGAACAAGGCCTTGATTACTAAGCAGCTCTGGAGAATGCTCACATAACCAAACATATTGGTCAGCAAATGCTTGAAGGCAAAATATTTTCCTAAGGACAATTTCTTTAATGTCAAGCAGAAGCAGACAGGATCTTAGCTTTAGCACAGCTGGCTCAAAGTCAGAGACTCCTTCAACATGGGCCTGAGATTTGAGGTGAAGAATGGAGCTAAAATAAACATCTATGAGCATCCATGGATCCCAGAGCTGCCTGGTTTCAAACCAATGAGCAGACCACAGCCAAACTCTGAAATTTTAAAAGTAAGGGACCTGATAGATGTCATAGGCAGGCACTGGAAAATGCATATCCTTCAAGACATATTCAATGAACAGGAACAAGCTGCTATTCCCAAAATCAAAAGTCTCAACCCAGGAGAAGAGGACATGCTAGTGTGGCACTGTGGGAAAAAAGGAAAACACTCAGTGGCAGCTTCATATGATTACTTGGTGAAGGAAAAATGGAAGCAACTGGATATAGCAGAACCAAGCAAAGGACAGGCAGAGATAGAAAAGATGAGAAGCTGACTATGGAGACTGAAAATAAAAGGAAAAATTAAGCACTTCCTTTGAAAATGTATCAACAACATTCTTCCTGTCAACACATGCCTAGATAAGAGAGGGGTGAGCATTGATGCCAGATGTAGCATTTGTGGTGAGGAAGCTGAAACAGTTCAACATTTGTTCTTCACATGCACCAAAGCCACAAAGATATGGGAGTTTGCACCTATTAAATGGGATGACCTTGAGAATCATACAGACAGCTTCTCTCACTGGTGGACTAAAATGTGCTCTATACCTCACTCAGCCATCAATGAAGCAAGAATCCAACTCACAGCTTACCTTCTTTGGTGGGTTTGGAAAGCCCGGAACATGTGGGAGTTTCAAAGACTTTGGAGATCAGAACAAGCAGTGGTGAATATTGCAATGGAAGAATGGCTAGAGTATAACCAAGTGCAAAGTCTGTTGTGTGACCATTAGTTAGGTTTCTTTATAGGCTTTCATTTCCTTTCTGTTTCTTGCTTTGTGGGGTAGTCTTTTGGTTAGTTGTTTATGCTTTTTATTCTGAGACAGTCTTGTTGTAGTTGAACTAGACTAGGGTTATGGTCAGCAGGGACGGACCTGCATTAGGTCCAGGGGGGCCGTGGGCCCCCCTCAATTTTTTTTAAAAATCATTATATATATATATGTATATATATACATATAAAAAATACTATAAATTATGAAAATGTAAAAAACATGTAGAATATATAAATAATTAAAAATTATTTTCAATGCTATTTTAATTTAAAGTTATAATATTATTTATTTATTGAAAAGTATACTAACAATCTTTATATCTTACATTTATGAAAAATAAATATATAATAATTTACTCTTTCGGCCTCTTAATTGTAAATCAATTTAATGATTTATAAAACTTAGAATTTTGTTGGATTGTTAGATTTTTTAATGTTGATCGATTGTATATTTGAATGTTGATTTTTTACTTTATTTTTTTTATGTAATCACATATTTTCAACTTTATTTATTTTTTATTAGTAAAATGGTCATTTGATAAGCTCTTATCAACAAAAAAAGTTATGCAATGTATTGCAAAAAGTTCAATGTAAATCAAATTTTGAACAAAAATACTTATTTTCTTCATAAATTATAGATCTTAAGCTTAAATTATAATTACACGAAATCTCAAAAAAAAAATCTAAACACAAAAGTTTGAGGGTTATACGGATTCTAAGTTTTTAAAAACTTGATGGTACACATATCAATATCTATATTTATAAGTAAACACAATTTATATAAAATGAGCGTTTCTACATAAACTACAAACTCATTATTTAACATTTAAAATTGGGCCCCCCTGAGTCAAAATCCTAGCTCCGTTCACTGATGGTCAGTGGTCTAGTTCCTTTTGATTTTTGTGCTAGGCAATTAAGAACATATCCTTGGTCTCTAAGCTCTGCATTTGCGAGGATTTGGTCTTAACTGTGTTTGATCTTTTTTCTAGGACATGTATATGTTCCTCTCTTTCAGCTTTGTAGTTGTGTATTGGGCTATTTAGCTCTCCTCATGTACAAAACCTATCGTTTA